TCGGACTCCAATGTGGCCGAGGTACGCATGGCTATGCTTATCCATAGAACAGACCGAACTATCCTTAGTTCGGTTCGTCCTTTTACTGCCCTTACCTCAGTTCTTCCTGTACAAACCGTGGTAAGTCTAAACCGAGCTAACTTTTAGCAAGGTTTAGACCGAGCTAACCATACTGCGCCATAACTGGTATAAGTTTTAGTATGGTAACCGAGCTAACCTCTTTGAGACCGGAGTAACTTTAAACCTCTTCAAGACCGGAGTAACTTTATGTCCTTTTTACTCAGCCCTTCGCACTGAGGCCCATAACGGCCCAGCTCGACCCAATTTTCATAGAAATTACCTTCTCAATTGCCCCTTAATTCCATCTGCAAAGCATGATAGGGATTACCCGTCCCCAACCGAGCTAAAAAAGTTTCAACCTTTTCAGCCGAACTAAACCCCTTTGTCTTTCCAGCCGAACTAAATTCCAGACCGGGCTCAGCTTGTCCGGTCAAAATGTCCTTTCAATCACAGCGACTGAATCGATTCTCATTTCAATGACACGTGGCACGCTCTGATTGGCTAAAGACAGCTGTCACGCCGCCCTCGTACCTCGCGTAATTTGAACAGTTCCCGCCTTTGTCCCTTGCATCAAAACAAAAACTCTTTATTTTGATCAAACACTGCACTATTCACTTCCTCTTCTCTCCCTCTCGTTCCTGAGCTTCTGAGCTTACTGAGTTCTTTGATCTATATTCGAAGAAGCTTCGTGGTTTTGCTGCCATTTCTCTCATCTTCTCTTGTCCTGGTAAGCTGCTCAAACATGCCTTGCTTTCCTTGTTTTTTGCATTTGTTTAATCCACAGCTTTAGGTTTGTGTTTTTTCGAAACACTTTCTTTCTACTTGATTTGTATATTTCTAGAAAAACTTAGCAATAGAACACTCGAATACATGTAATATCCTGTAGAACACTGGTTTTCGATCCAAAATCATGATGCAACCGGACTAGAAAGTTGTTTGTAGTTAAAGTTGAATTAGGCAGACTATCTAACCGAACTAATACTTCATGCTACCCCATTAGTCTCAACAAGCCAAAGTATAATACTCTCCTTAACCGAGCTAATGAACCGGACTAGGGCTGTACAATAGTGTACTGGGAAACCTTAATTCCGACCGAGCTATGTCTCGGGGCTAAACCAGCATTTTTAATTTTTAGACCGAACTAAGAAAGCTGCCACTAGAAGCTTAACCAGGCTAACAAATCCTTGCGCAAACCGAGATAATAAATCCCTTGCGCAAATCGAAATAGCAAATGCCTTTGAACATACCGAACTATTGAGTACCTTGCCTAGACCGGGATAACAAAGCACTTTGCACAAACCGAGCTAAGACACGTAGCGTTTCACATAGCCGGGCTAGGACTTGATGTATCTTGCCTTTATTTCTCTTTAGCACGGTCCAACGGTCTGTGCTTAACACCTTTGTTCTCTTTTTGGTTCAAGCTCTTATTTTGGTTTATCTTAGTGCTTATACCTTTACTTTCTAACTGATGTCTTGTATGAGGTAGCATTCCCTTGCCGAGATACTTTATCTCGGTCTTAATCATTGCAACTATGAGTATATCTGCCAATCATTCTTTAGCCGAGATCCCTACCTCGGCTGAAGAATACTAAAAGTTGGTTTATTCCAGCCACCCACTTTTTAGTCGATGTCTTTTCTTTGGCTAAAGAGTACCAAGAGTTGGTTTAGTCCAGCCAACCACTCTTTAGCCGATGTCCTTACTTCGGCTAAAGAGTACCAAGAGTTGGTTTAGTCCAGCCAACTACTCTTTAGCCGATGTCTTTTCTTCGGCTAAAGAGTACCAAGAGTTGGTTTAGTCCAGCCAACCACTCTTTATCCGATGTCCTTACTTCGGCTGAAGAGTACCAAGAGTTGGTTTAGTCCAGCCAACCACTCTTTAGCCGATGTCTTTTCTTCGGCTAAAGAGTACCAAGAGTTGGTTTAGTCCAGCCAACCACTCTTTAGCCGATGTCCTTACTTCGGCTGAAGAGTACCAAGAGTTGGTTTAGTCCAGCCAACCACTCTTTAGCCGATATCTTTTCTCACAGACGGTGCCAATTGTACGGGAAAGAAATAAATCTTCTCGTATAATCCTGTTGATCGAGTCTGCGCTCCTCCAAACGTTGTCGCTTTACTCCCTGAAAACACAAACGTGAGCTAGCCGGCGAGTGTGTGCCGGAAACCTCTCCGATGCCTAAGTCAGTAAAATAGACAAGAAGACAAAAGCTCTGTACATCCAGGAATCAAAGTTGTGTTACCTCTCCATAGGTGATGTTTGTGAGCTTTTATAGGTTCCGTGTAGCACAATCCAAGTAGGACTCTTACTCCTCCATGTAGAGTCCTCCTAGGATTCATACTCCTGAAAGATAATGTTTATCCTTCAACACCCCCCTCACTGTTTAAACCAAGTGAGATGGTTTTACCATGGTCGGACTCCAATATGGCCGAGGTATGCATGGCTATGCTTATCCGTAGAACAGATTGAACTATCCGTAGTTCGGTTCGTCCTTTTACTGCCCTTACCTCAGTTTCTCCTATACAAGCCGTGGTAAGTCTAAACCGAGCTAACTTTTAGCAAGGTTTAGACCGAGCTAACCATACTGTGCCATAACCGGTATAAGTTTTAGTATGGTAACCGAGCTAACCTCCTTGGGACCAGAGTAACTTTAAACCTCTTCAAGACTGGAGTAACTTTATGCCCTTTTTACTCAGCCCTTCGCACTGAGGCCCATAACGGCTCAGCTCGGCCCAATTTTCATATAAATTACCCTCTCAAACGTGATTATAATTATTAAATTAAATTAATTTTTTTAACAATTAATTTATATATTATAATTTTAAAAATTAAATTTAGGTGAAACCATAATGGCCCATGGGCCGAAACAGCAAGGTACGGTGAACAAGCTGGTGCCTTTAAGAATAGATCAATAATTTAGTAAGGAAGAGGAGAGAGAGAGAGAGAAGAGGAAGTCGTCGCTGCCAATCCCACCCTGCCGCCGCGTTGCCACCCGGATGCCACCAATTCATGTTGTCTACAACTCTGACCTCTCCTACTGTTTCACGAGTAATCTATGGAAAAATGATTTAGACTTCTAAAAAGAGAACTCTAATGGAGCATTAATTTGTCTTTTTCTTCCCTATATTTTGTCTTTTACCTCACTGTTTTTTTTTTTTTTTTAATGTGGCCAGCTCATTAGAGTTGCACTGCAGCACATCTAATTAGAGCTCTGCAGCAGATCTGGTAATCTATGCCATAGAAAGCAAATCAAAGCAAAACTCTGTTAAATCTGACTCAAATAAGCATTTTTTTGGATTCAAGAAAGAAAATCATAACAAAGTCTGAAGTGAACCTCTTTGAATATGAGAATTTTGGGGATAATTCTCTATGAGAACAAATAACAAACACGAAAGCTACAAAATCAAAACAATAAAGAACAAAAGACATAGAAAAATAAGATTAAGACCCAGATGAGATGTTGATTGTAGTGTGTGTAGTATCCAAGACTTTCACCTTTGTAAACCAAATCCAACTTTCTTGAGACCTTCATAGACACCAAGCAAAAAAACGAAAAACAACGAAGAAATAGAAATTGGAAATTTTATTCACGCAATACAAAAAAAAAAAAAAAAAAAAAAAAAAAATAAAAAAAAAAAAAGGATTAAAATTTAAAACCCCAGATACGTATCCTGCCGTATCGGACGCGTATCCGTATCCGATACGTATCCGATACGCGTACGGGGGCCATTTCGGAGTATCCGTGCTTCATAGGTTCTAAACCAGATAAGTATATCGAAATTCTAGCAAACTGGTTCGATACATTGAAATATAATTGGTATGGCTATATTATATGTAGAACCGAAGTGAGTGATCAGCTTCTTTTATAGAGTCATTGTAAAAGAAGCTTTTCGACTTTGACCGATGTGTGACAAACAAATTTGGAGGGCTTCTTTATATAAAGTGGGTTAGAGGAGAAGTGGCTTTCTATAACTGATGTGGGGCTAGCATCTCACTTTGGCATAAACATTTGTGTTTGAATAACAATTCATGCTTGGCATGTGCATATTTTGAACCAAAGATGTATTAACAACTTTACGTGGATATCATGTAGAAACCCATTGTTTTCTAGATACAGTTGTTATTTAAGCCATATAAAGGATCTGTTTCACCAACAATTTGACCTGCTTTTGTGCTTCACCATGCCAGTTAAATGGCCTGGACTTTAAAGCTTGTTCACTTAAAAATATTTCCATGTTAGATAATTTGAAGCCAAAAATATTTCCATGTCAGATAACTTGAAGCCATAAGGATGAGTGAACTTTGGGGTTATATGCAAGAGATGTGGGATTTATTATATTACATTGTCTTGTAATTTTTTTTTATTGACCCATTAAATAGACAATGATTCTACATATCAATATTTTAATTAAAATGTAACTTTAATAAAGTAAAAAATTATTTTATCATTGAATTTCAGAGGAGTTGTTAATGGTTTCCAAAATTCGCGACCATGGCACTTGACTTTTGATACGTATTGCATGATGCTCCCGATATAGAACACCTTACTTGTAATCAAGTATACTAAATATATATACATATATATATTTTTAGTCTTGTTCCATTTCAATTAGATCCTTGTAGGGTGAAAATTTATGTTAAAAAAATTCTAAAGAATGGAAAACAGTTTCTGATAAAAAGGAGTATGTGAATATATTGATTGGGCATTTAGAAAGAATAACTAGGATCCCCCTGATTCTGGGTCTTTATATTGTCTTGATGCAGATGTGACTAGATTGGTTTAAGTACCATAACTTACTTAGCCTGATTTGATTGGAGAGAAGCCAACTCCTGTCTAGATTATTCAGAGTGAAGTGTAACAAGGCATTGTGGTTTCACTAATAGATAGCTTTTGCTAGAGAATTGAATATCTTATCTGTTACTTTTTCCTGATTTCTGTTTTTTCCTACATTTTCGATTTGTATGTTTTTTAAGAGTCCAGCATTGATGATAAAATCCATGAATTGAAAAGAAAGGATAAGAGCATCAAGCAGATGGGGAATATCATACAGGAGAAGTCAGCTACCATTGCATCATTACAAAGTGAGATACAAGCACTCCAGGTAAGGTTTTTGTTTGACTCTGTCAAGTAATCACACCAATTGATTAGCTTCAATATTCATATATACTACCATAGTTTGGTCCTTCTTGATTTTTGTCCTCCTTGTTTTTAAGACTTTTTATTTTATTTCTGTTCGACTTTGGCCCTTATTTTAATGAGAATTAATTTTGTTTATTATCAAAAGGGATCTTTAGATGCTAAGGAGCAGGTGGGTAGGGCTCATGCGCGGGTTGGTGAACTTGAGAACCAGGTAAACTTATGTTCGAACTTGCTTTCAAAGATAAGTCTTTGGAAATGTTGCACTTCTTTGATATTAATAAGCTTAACAGGTTGAGAAACTTAGAAAGGAAATAGAAACACAAAACAAGAAAAGAGATGCCTTGGAAACCCAAGTGAAAGTATCTGAGCAAAAAGTCTTGGAATTGAACTCAAAACTGGAAAGTGTAAGTATGATGCATGTTCTGGTTTCTCTTCACTTAGTTTTGTATCAAAACCAAGTCAATGATTTAAAACCCATATCGATTCGGCCGGTCAGACCGGTCCGGCCAGTTGAACCTGGACCCGGGCGTAATTCCGGTGCGGAAGAACCCTCAAAACCGGACTAGGCTAAAAATAGGCCTAGATTGTCAAAACCGGTAAAACCGCTGGTTCAAACAGGAAAACCAATGACCCGGTACCGGTTTTGAATTGACTCCGCGGTTGGAAAATCTTTTTTATTTTTATTTTTCTTCTTTTCTTTCTTTCTTTCTTATATATATATATATATATTATATATAAATATATTTCAAAATTTTGACTAAAAATTCTTACTTCAAGAGTCTCCTCTCATAAGGAAGAGTCTCATTGGAAGTTTGAGAAGATTATGAAAGTCTATTCCTATTTATAGAAAAGATTTTTCAAAGAGAACCTACAAAATTCTATGTGGGATTCAATCAAATTATTTGAAACATATTGATTGGAGGGAGAGTTGAAAATTTCATTTCCCTCCAAAATTAAATCTAGCATTCAATCAATTTATTTGGAGGAAATGTTTAAAAAATTTAATTTCTTTGAAATAAGTGACTTTTTTTTATCAATTATGACTTTATTAAATATTATTAATAAATATTATGCAACAATTTTTATTTTTATTTGATTATTTATATATATTTTTATTTATTTATAATTTATAATTATATTTTTTAATTATATAACATTAATTATGACGTCACGGTTCGACCGCTTTGACCCGACGGTTGAACCGGTGACCCGTCCACCCGGTCCCTTTTCCGGTTCGCTCACCGGTCCGGTTTTGAAAACATTGGTTTGATGACAAGGTACTATGTACCTGTTTGGCAGAATTTAAAAGTAATTTATTTTAATTTTTAGTTTAATTTAAGTTATTTTAATGTGTTTGGTTTAGCTTATAGCTTATAGCTTTTTGGAAGTCAGAAATTAACTTATTCTTTGAGTGGGCAGGAGATGCTTAATTTATAAGTCAGAAATCAATTTATGTTTATAAGCTATAAGCTGTTTAGGCATAAGTTATAAGCACTTTCCCACAATTCTACCAAACAGAGCTTATATTTGATTCTGTTTTGTGCTAGCTAGCCTATAGTGCACCAAACCATCATCGCCACTGCATCTCTGATCGCCACCAACATTTGACATGAACCAACCGTCACCGATCTCCAACCACATTTCAATTGATTACTGGACCGGTCATTGATGACTCCAACGTTAAAGCCTCCGAAAAATAAGTTAATTTTTTGACTTTTTAATTATTTTAATTTAAAGTTAAAAAGTTTAATTTGAGAAAATTTTTTTAAAATTTTTTAACTTTTTAACTTTTTACTGAGATGTCTATATGTAATATTACTAAACTGTCCCTGATTTTAAACTTTGTCCCGACAGTGCCGCTGAGCGCGACACATCACCACTAATTTTACCCTTTTTTTAAATTTTATCATGAATGCAGCAGCTGTGCTATGGAATTGTTAACCCAAACATATTTTTTGGTCATTTTTATATTTGTTTAATTTATTACATTAATTTGTTTTTGTTTTGTTTTTTTTTTAAATGGTTTTTCATGTGTTTTTTTTTTTTTTATTTTTTTTATTTTTTGTAAAATGATAAAAAGTGAGGTTTTATTTTATTGTCTTGTGTATATTATTTATTTTTTTTTTTGAAAATGATTTTTTCATGTGTTTTTTATTTTTATTTTAATTTAAATTTAATTTTTTATTTCATTTTCTCTAAAATGAAAAAAAGTGAGGTTTTATTTTATTGTCATGTGTATTTTAAATTTTTTTTTTTTTTGCAAATGGATTTTTCATGTGTTTTTTATTTTTATTTTTATTTTTATTTTTATTTTTTTTCATTTTCTGTAAAATGATAAAAAAGTGAGGTTTTATTTTTATTGTCTTGTGTATTTAATTTTTTTTTTTTGCAATTTCATGTGTTTTTTATTTTAATTTTAATTTTTTTTTCATTTTCTGTAAAATGATAAAAAGTGAGGTTTTATTTCATTGTCCTGTGTATTTTATTTTATTTTATTTTATTGCAAATGTTTTTTTTTTTTTTTGAAAAATGCTTTCTCATTTGTTTGCATTTTACATGACGTGGAAACTGAAATTTGGCTTACATATTGTCCTTTTTTTCATTTCTTTTTAATTTATTTTCTTTTTTTTTTTGGGCAAAAACGCTTTTCTTTGTTTGTATGTGTGGTGAGGCGGTGAGACATGTGTATCAGAGTGGGAGGTGGGAGGTGGGAGGGGGCAGTTTGGTAATTTCAACCTGCCATGGGTTCAACATTTTCAAACGAAGCTCATTTGGACGGTAGTGGCTAAATTAGCATTTTTTGGATGGTAGTGGCTAATTTAGCCCAAAATCGTCTTCCCAAAAAGCACTTAGATCGAAATTCGAAAAGTTATTAATTTGTAGAGGGTGAGAGTTATAAATTTGTCTTAAATAATTAAAAAAACATAAAAAAGTATAATAAATTATTATTGATGTGGGATATGATAACACGTGACGTTTCAAGATCAACTAATAATTCTTTCAAAAACTCATTAAAAAATTTAAAATTTTTTTATTGTCAAATGTTTTAATTTTTTTAAAATTTTTGTTAATTAAAATCTTATTTTAATATTTATCTTAAGGTGTCTAAAAATTTTGAGTTATCACGATTGCCAACGAGCTCCAACAAAGCTCAATCCATTTTTCAACGATTAGTCGATCACTCACTATAACAAATTAACAAATTAATGTTTGAGAGGTAAAAATTTATGGACCAAATCGCTTAAAGTATGGAATATTTTAGTTGTTAAAAGTGTCGTGGTATTTTTAACAACAAAATTGAATATTATTGATGAATTATTATTTTTTTAAGATTGAAATTTTCATTTAAAAACAAAACTTTTTTGCTCAAAATCGTTTTGTGTAAAGGCTTCGCTTTTGAAAATATTTTTTTTTATATAAATTAATTTTACATAAAAAAATATTTTCCTTCTATTTTTTGATGTTTAATTGACACTAAATTTTTTTTTAAAAAAATTACTGTATGCCTTGGAATGTGCTAAAAGGGAATATAATGATGAATACTGACTCATGGGAGTTTAAATGATAAATCAGTTTAGGGACCATGACAATAAATGTTTTACTTCTTTTTTTTTTTTTTAATCAAATAATGAAAAATATGTAAAAAAGATTCATAAAAATTATCTCACATGAAAACAAACAGAGTCTAAAAATGTATTTATTAATGCTATTTTTAAAATTTTATCACTAAATTATTTTTTTTTATTTTTTAAATGACCTTCTAGTAAGGCCTCACATGAGGTCAAGAATTGATCTCTTAATATTTTTGAAAATAATTTTTTTTAGAAATAAAAATTTTTTAAAAACCTTTATTTGTTTTAGGGTTGGTTTGGGAAGTGGGTTGACTTTTTGACTTTTTGAATTTTTTGACTATTTTAACATGGGCTAAAAAGTTTGGTTTGGTAAGAGCTTTTTGACTTTTTAATTTTTTTGACTTTTTTTATAAGAGAATAGTGTAATGATTATGGGTTGAATGTGATATTTTATTTATTGTGACTAAAATAACTTATTTTATCTTTTATGATTAAAATAGTCAAAAAAAACTCACAACCTATCTTACCAAACGGAGCCTCACCTACGATCACTCTATGACACACCAGCTACCAGTTTAGACACGTCATCAAACATATTCATATATATTTGTTTTCATTTGTTTCTATAATATTTTTTTACAGCAAGGCCTCGTTGAAAACATCACTTTTTAGTATAAAACTCAAAAAGTCATTAAAAAATTAATAATTTATATAAAAAAAAGTCAAAAATTTTATTTTTTTTCTATTTTTTACACGTCTTTTTATAAAAAAATTAAAAAATTATTACAAACATATTAATTTTTTTTATATCATATTTTGGTCAAAAAAATAAAAAATCACTAAAAAAAAATTTATTTTCAAACGAAGCCTAAATTTGTTTATTTATATATGAAAATAAAGTCGTTTATGTCCTTAGCTGTAACTTGCCAAGGGAGTTGTGTGATAGTGGCTGTGTGGCTAAAAAAATCTTGGGTAGTTACGTGTTAGTTCTAAACAGTGAATTTGTTCTCTAATAGATCTTATAAGAAAAAATTTCCATAAAAAAAGTTATTAATTGTAAGTTCTAGGGATAATTTATAAAAATTATGACAAAAAAAGTCATTAATTGTCAATTTTTAATGAAATATATAAAAAATTATTACAAAAAAATTATTTTTAGTGACAATTTTACCAAGACTTATTTCCAATAGCACTTGATGAGAATTAAATCCAACCTTTAAGACCTATTGATAATTTACCCAAAAATCTTTCCCGTTGCATTCAAATCCCAACTGTCCAATATCTATTCCATTCTTTTGATATTTTATTAGTATTATTATTATTATTGGATATCTGACCAAAATTCTCTCATAATAAAATTTTAATACATTAAGAACAAATATAAAAAGTTTCGGTAATGCTACATACATCAATTAGTCTACTAACTAGTGTACCAACACTAGTTATGACATTATTATTGACCTCACTCATTAATAACATTACAAATATAAAAAATCTCTTAAATTATGTTACATCATCAATTGATACACTAATTGATGCATTCTTTGAAAAGTCTAACAAATATCACTATTATAAAAAATATTAAACTTTAAAATAATATAACTTTTGATTTAGATGTTATTTTTTAATAAAATTAATATTTTTAGAATTCTTTCATCAAGATCTATTAAATAAGATCTATATTGATTATAAATTTTTTTTAAAAATGTATATATTTTTTACCGTTAAAATTAGTAGCATGTTACTATATTTAACAATTATTTTATTGACAATAACATACTACTCTAATGCACAATAATATGTTACTCTGACAATATTATCTAAAAAAATATATATATATTATAATTTGCCTTTACTCGAGTTTATGAAAAAAATAAATCAAACTGTCCTATTTACTAAATAAAAGTCCAATAAAAAAGTTTTAAAATTTCCCTGGAGATGGAGGATTTTGTTGGGAATACCCATCTAAAAACTCTAATATTACCTACTGAGGA